CCAGAATACTGGAGTGAGTAGCCTTTCCCTTCTCCAGGGGATCTTCCTAACCCAGGGATCGAACCCAGGTCTCCCGCACTGTAGGTGGATTCTTTACCAGCTGAGCCACAAAGGAAGCCCTTGCTTCTTAGTAGCCCCAGCCTAAACAGGAGCATCCATACCTCTGTGTGACCACCTCCACCAAGAGAGGCAGAACCCTCAGACTGCAAAGACATGAGGGCCGGGTTCCTTAGAAACCCCTCAGGAAAGCCTGCACTCTGAACCTGGGCAAGAGCCGCTGAGTTCTGAGTGGGGGTCCTGGCAGTTGGCAGCGATCAGTGAATCAGTGCCCAATTCACTGGCATCAGAGGTTCTGTGTGCAGGCGGAGAGCGGTCTGGAAGCCATCACTCCCACCCCAGGCTCAGCCAAGGGCCCGGGGGACACCCACCCAGACCTTGGCCCCAGTCTCTGGTCAGGTAGGTCTCAGGAAAGCCAGCCTCCAGGGCTCCTGAGGATTGCTGGTGCCCAAGGACAGTTCAAGCAGGAACCGTGTCACCATGATCTCCTGGCTGCTGTCCGTATACACAACACAACACCCTGTTATCTCTAGCTCTCCAGGACTTCAGGCTCAACTTCTAAACCCAATACCCAATATTAATATTAATAACAGCAACAAACATTTAATAAACACTCACCAGGATCGCAATACTTCACATGCATAACCTCAGTCTCTCCTTACAACCACCCCAGGGAGCATGTATCACTCTGACTTTCATTTCACACATGAAGAAACTAGCTAAACACATTTGTACTGGAGTGGAAGGAAGTTTTTATTTTGGATGTGGGAGAGGGAGTCAGGGGGAGATGTCAGGGAGGGGAAAGCCCCGGGGAACATAAGCACTGCTTGAAATCCCGAAGGGGCACAGCAAGGAAGTCTGGGTCCACCGGGAGCTGGAAGGCAGAAAAAGTGCATCTTGCCTTTTCCCTCTTCTTTTCCACAATTATGCTGTTTGGGAAATTGCCACCTTTCTGCTTCCAGGGCAGAAGTCGGGGCCACTCTCCCATCTCCTGAGCCCTGTCTGGGAGCTGAGAGAGGGGAAGGCAGCAGGAGGGAAGGAACAGAAGCAGCTTAGATCTGAGAGCGGGATGGTACTGCCTCCCTCCCAGGCTGCTGGTGCGCCAAAGCCCCCTAGTGTCTGGCGGCTCTGAAACAACAAAGGGCAAAGGGCTTAACATCCCAGGCAACCAGGCTGCCCTGGATTCCAGGCAGGCTCGACCCTGCCTGGCCCTTTTGATCTGAGCACAGACCTCTCAAACTGGAATGCTGCCATCACTGAGGTTCCTGAAAGGGGAAGGGGGAGCTGGAGGGACGAGCTGAGCCCTGATACTCCCTCCTGCATTCCCACAATGGGGGGCCTTGAGAAAAGATGGCTTGTCAAACGTGGACGCCAAGCAACCCCAGCTCCAAAGGGCAGGTTTCAGAAGTGGTTCCTGCCCGCAAGGCATGTCCTCCTGGGCTGGCCTTTCGGACAGACAGGTTCTGGCAGGCTGGTCTCAGTCTCCGTCTGCAACCCTGCTCTGCACCACTGCAAGTGCTCTTAGAGCTGAAGGCTCTGGGATGAACACACCTGCTCTTCTTTCAGACCTTTGGAGAAAAATGCCATGTGGGCGGGGAAGATGGGGAAATCAGGGGAAGGAAACTCCCTGAGACGCCTAGTTTGCCAACATCCTCCTAAACAGAGTGCCCAGAAATGGGCCTGAGCCTCAAAGAAAAACTCTAGATAGCAGCAAGAGGGCTCTGGGATGAGACAGGTATGGGTATGAACGCCAATGCCCACTCAGCGGAAGACTGGACACAAAGATCCACAACTCTAACCCCTACACGTCCACCTCCAGAAGGACGTTTTGAGGACCAAATGAGAGGATGCACATCAAGTGCCTGCCCCAGGCCTGAATCAGAGTCAGAGTGAGCCCTTAATAAATGTTATCAGATACTATTACTGTGACTGCCTTCACTCTCCCCCACACCAGCTGCTGGAGTCCTTTCTGAACAGGAGGTCTTCAGCACTGGCCCTCCTGTGAACTAAATGTTTGTGTCTCCTGCCAAAACTCGTGTGTTGCAATCCTAAGCTCCACGGTGATGCTACGAGGAGGTGGGGCCTTTGGGAGGTGACTACGTCATGAGGGTGGGGCCCTCATGACTGGGATTAGTGCCCTTACAAGAGACACAACAAAGAGCTAGTTCACCCCGTCTCCTGCCCTTCCACAATGTGAGGACACAGTGAAACGACAGCTGTCTGTGAGGCAGCAGGTCCTCACCAAGAACCAGACCTGCCACAATCTTGAACTTCTTGGCCTCCAAAAATGTGAGAAATAAATTTCTGATGGTTATAAGGCACTGGGCTTATGGTATTTTGTTACAGCAGCCCGAACAGCCTAAAACAGGCCATTAAAATCCTCAATGCTCTCCAGCACCTCCGCAAATCCAAGCCTTTTCTCAAAAGGCCCTCCGGGATGGGGCCTGGTTCTTGTTCAGTCTCACCCCCTTCCGCCCGTTCTACCTTTACGGGCTGACACAGAGCCCCCTGGATTAAACCTTCAGAAGCTGACCTTCACACCTCTGGGCCTTGCTCAAGCTGCCTCCTCTGTTGGAAGCAGTGCTCTCCCACCAGAGACCACCCCTGGAACTCCTGCTCATCCTCCCAGATGGAGGCTTCTCCCCCCTGGGAGCCAGCCCTGGCTCTCTGGATCATTTCCGGACGAACCTCCCCTGACCCTAGACCTCTGTTCACACAACTCTCACTGCCTAGAACACCCTCTTCAGCCCCCACTCCTGTGGCACATCCCAGGGTTCCCAGGGGCCCAGCTCATTCCTCACAAGGGCCTTCCTTAAGTTCATGCAGCTTCCTTTCAGGTCAGGAACCTCCCACCAATGATAAAATGCAGCCCTTAATCACACGTGAATTCTGCTTTACTAGTGTGTTAGCAAGTCTTCATTTTGCCTTCCCAGCCAGGTGACAAAGTGTTTCAGGCCCTGACTTGGCTGCTCCCTCCAAGCATGGCCCAACAGTACACTAATCCCCAGTCCAAAGGGACCAGACACCAAAAGCCACCCAGTAAAACCATGACCTAACTGAAAACTGAGCTCTTGGCCCCACCCCAAAACACTGCATTTGAAATTTCTCTCCTTGTGAAGGAAGCAGAAACACAGACACCCTCTCCCCACTCTCAGCCTCTAAAAGACAACATTCCTCACCTAATCAATACAGTCCATCAGCCCCGGATGTTTTTCCACACGAGGTAGGTCTCAGTCAGGTTACTCAAGTTCTTGCGGTGGATAAGGAAACATTATCCACCCGTGTAACAATGAGCGGTTCCCATCTCCTCTCCTGGGAGAACCCTCCTCCTCATTTCTTACCAACCTCCTCTAACACCGTCTCTCCTTAAGCCCCAATCTTCCCCCTGCAAACCCCTTCCCCAGCCTCTGCCTCTCTGTTGCCAGGTTCCATGGCCCCTCCTCACAGTTCCTCCTAACTCTCTACACACTTGCCTGTTCCCTGGCAGCTCTCCTCCCAGTTTCAAGAGCAACACAACCTTCCTCAGTCCTCCCTGGCTCTCTCTCCACTGGAGGTCTCAAGCCCCCTCCCCTAACCCTATCAAGTCCCCATGGCCCGAGTTCCTTCCCCAACCCCTTTCAGCTCCTTACTCGTCACACTGTCTCTCCCTGCTCTGACAACCCCCCACCCCCACTTCTCGCATCAACCCCCTACCTTAATCACCATCAGTCCCGAACAGGCTCCATACCTGTTTCCTTCCTGGAAATGATACTGATGGTAGCTAACACTTTCAGAGTGATAACCATGTCCCAGGCTCAATTCTACACCCTTTACATGTGCCCTACTTCAATACTAGTGGCAAATGCCTGAGACAGGTTTCTCTTAAGACAGCCCTCCCCCCAAAATAAGGGAAGTTAAACAGCTTGCCCAAGGTCAAGAAATGGCAGAGCCTAGGCTTCTGACCTGAGCTTTTGACCTTCCTCAGCCACTAAAATTCCTCAAACGACAGTCATCAGAACAACTTTTATGAGCCAACATGGACTCATGCGAAATGTCTGCCACAAGCATTAGGTGTGGGTTCTGTTTCCCAGCCCCCTTCAGCCCTAATCTGGGCATGCCAATCTCACCCTGCTTACACTGCACGCCCCATATTTACTCAAAGATCACGCGGTAGGCCTCCAGCCCCTTAGGTCTTCTTATCTCCCTCATCTCTCCTTTTTATCCCACCAGTTCCTACATCAAGCTTCACCCCCACTTAGTCTCCAGCCTCCTAGCCCTCTTCAGCCTTCACTCCACCACCCCAGAGATTCCTCTGTTCAGATCTCACTTAGCAGTCGGGTCTCCTTACACTAGTCACCTGTGACCAGGGCCATACTCACCTGAGACACCTCACGAAACTCAGACTGGGTTCATCAATCGTAGGATCATCTTAGCCCTGACGCCCGGGCCAGAGTTCACATAAATCCATCACCCCAGGTCTCGGAAAGGGGACGCCCTCGGGCCTAAGTTCTCAGTTTCAGGCCCCAAGACTCCCGTCTGGGATCTTTCACATAGGCTCTCCTTGAGATCCAAAAGGCTTCCTGGCCTGGCTTCCCTCCAGGCTCCCTCGGTCCCTGCAGGCCACATTCCCTTCAAGGCCTGAGACTGTATTCCCTTGGCCCTTTGGCCCGTCTCCAGCCTGAGATCCCTTCCTGCCTCCAGATGGTTTCGCCTCAGCCCGGGTGTCCTCAGCCCACGGCCCTGCCACAATCTCGGACAGTCTCTCATCAAATTATGCTGTCAGTGCCACAGTCCGGCGTCCTGGCCATGGCTTGTGTCCCTTCTGCTGCCTTAGACCATGTCCGTAAGCCCGCAATCCCCCGCGTCCTCTAGGCTCGAGCCCTTCGTCTCTACCACCGCCCCAGAACATGACTCCTCCGTCCTCTCAGCCGAGGTCCCGGCCGACCCCTGCGCGCGGTTCTTACCCAAAGAGGCCCGAGAAGAAGGACTGCGAGTTCTTCACTTTGCGCTCCGCCTCGGCCAGCAATGCCATTGCCTCCGCCTCCTTCCCGGAGTTGTCCATAGCGGTTGCAAAACTACTCAGCAAACCGCCGGAGCCCGGCCCTCGGAGAACTCAGCTACGGCCGGGTCGCAGGAGACAGGTCGAGAGGGCTTGGTGGGCAGCGTTGACGTCGCACCGGCGCGCGCCTCCTGCGGCCAGGAACCACGTGATTCGAGCTGGCCAACCAACGGCCTCGTAGCGCGGCTTGCGCACCGCAGACCACGCCCTCTCCGTCCGATGCACGCCGCCCCGTGATTCATGGCCTCCAATCAGCGACCCGAGTTTTAACGCATGCGCATGTATCTGCTTTAGTGTACCTGGTGCCCCGGTTGATAGCCCACGTGACTTCACATAAGCCAATCATAGCCCTCACCGCCAAGGACCCGCCTCCGGGGGCTAGATTTCTGGTTCCTCCTCCACCAATCAACTTCAGCCTTTGGTTCCGTCCGTGACTTTCCCTGCGGAATTTCGACCCTAGTCAGCTGATCACGGATCGTCACGAGAGAGCTCCAGGCCGGAAGACGCTGCCGATCCTCGCCTGGGTTTGATAACTCTTTTGCGTAGAGCTTCGTCTCCGCCTCCTCTCTATCTCCTGAAGTTCTCTTTCACTTGGAAAGGCGTCAGTGGGTAAGAAGGAAAGCGGTCTGTTTTCTTGCGCCCTCTGTCGACCTATGCCGAAATTGGTTTGGGAAGGCCAGTGAAGGCGGCATATCTCATTTTATTGTGTTTTGCTTTCCTGCCCTTCCAAGATACAGTTAAAAAAAAAAAATAGAAGGTTTGTGGCAATCCTGCGTTAAGCAGGTCTCTCAGAACTGTGCGGTTTCCCAAACAGCATTGACTCATTTAGTGTCTCAATGTCATGTTTAATAATTCTCACAATATTTTAAAGTTTTTTGTTATTCTTGTTAGGATGACCTGTGCTTGGTGACCTTTGATGTTATTATTAGGACTGGCTCAGATAATGATTAGTATTTTTTAGCAATAAATTATTTCTAAATTATAAATTTCTAAAATAATGCTACTGCACCCTTAATAGACTTAAGTATTCTTGCCTGGTGAGTTACATGGACAGAGGAGCCTGGCCGGCTAAAGTTCATGGGGTCTCAAAGAGTCGGATACAACTGAGCAAAGGAACAANGAGGTATATCAAAGAGACGAGAGCCAACTGAAACACACACACACACACACACACACACACACACACACACACACACACACGATGAGGTATATCAAAGAGACAAGAGCCAACTGAAAGAGCTCCCAGTGTCAAAGCTGGAACAATCTGAGCAACAGGCAGCACTGGATTATAACCCAGTCTATAAAATCTCCATGAGCTCATGCTGATATAAACTGAACAAATAAATGGTGGAGAATAAGAAAACATTCCAACTAATTTATGTGGATATTCCATTCCCAAGATGGAGTATGACTCTTCACTCCTCATGTAGTCGGTGCACAGTGACTTTCTTCCACAGAGGACGGTGGTGGGGTTGGAGCTACTACACTGACAGTGTGGAAACCTGACAAACATCGTCAGTCAGGTGATGGAGGTTAACAGCAACAGTGACAAGTCACGCTGATACTATGTACTCTTCATAACATGTGATGACAGTGGCGCTTCACCTCTGTGGTCTTTCTCACGCTCTGATCAGGAGAAAAACATCAGACTAACCCTGGCTGAGGCACACTCTCCAAAATACCTCACCACGACTCCTCATAACTGTCATCAAAAACAAGGGAAGTCTGAGAAGCTGTCACAACCGAGAGGAACCTAAATGTGGTGTCCTGTGTAGGGAGGATCTTTGCACAGAAGAGGGACCTTAGGTAAAAACTAATGAAATCTGAATAAAATATAGACTCTAGTTAATCAAAACATAGCAATACTGGCTCATTAACTGTAACAAACATGCCGTACTGATGTCAGATAATAGTAGGGGAGGACCTCTCTGGTAGTCCAGCGGCTAAGAGCCCGCCTACCCATGAAGGGAATCCGAGTTCAATCCCTGGTCTGGAAGAATTCCATATGCCGAGGGGCAATGCCCTTGCAGCAATGAAGACCCAGAACCACCAAAAATAAATGAATAAATAAAAATTTTAAAGGTAATAATAGGGGCAACTGGGTGTGGGGTAAATGATAATTCTCTGTAGCATTTTCCCAATGTTCATGTAAATCTAAAAACTGTTCTACTAAGAAAGCATCTTTAAAAAAATTTTAAGTCCCAGGACTCTACCTCCAATGATTCAGATTATGAAAGTCTGTGGTAGGGCACAAGAACGTGCATTTTTTTACAGGACCCCCAAATAATCAGGATGGCGATAATTCAGGCTTGAGAAGACCCTCTTTTCTGAGGGTGGAGTTTGAGGGGGAAGTAATGCACAAGAAACCTTGCCCGGCTCTCTCCTTAAGTTCAGAGTCTCTTTGGGACCACTCCTTGTGGTTGCCACTGCATTCTGACCATAGATAAGATTGGGTGGGGGGCGGTGCGAATCTGGATAACCACAAGCAGTTTGGGTTCCCTACCCCTCTAAGCAGCACAACTGTAAAAGTTTCCATTTGTTTTAAGCCATTAAGTTTCAGCTTAATTTGTTACACAGCAATAGATGCCTAACATACCACCAGACCGTGAAGCCAGACACTTTCACTTTCAGAGTCCGCTGCCGCACTCGTGAGAGGGTGGGACCTACACAGTGAGTGGCAGCACCTGCACTGCGTGAGCCGCAGCTGCTCAGGTCACGCCGGGCACCTGCCAGTACCCGCTTTCCATCTTCTCATCAGCAGATACGTCGGGCTGGGCATTTTCCAGTTACGGAAGGAGGTGACTGAGACCCAAACAGGGTAGGTGAAATTTTCCCAAGGTGGCAAAGAGGGACAGGGAGCCAGGCTGTCAATCCCCGATCATCCGATGCCGGGGTCCTTTCCCTTCACTGCAGTGTCCACACTGCTTCAAACTCAACTTCCTCCTCTACTGTCCTCCCCGCCCCCTCTTTGCAGACTTACTGACCTGAAATGGGGCCCCCCTGTGAAGTCTTCTTGTGTGTGTGTTAGTCACTCAGTTGTTTCTGACTCTTTGTGACCCCACGGACTGTAGCCTGTCAGGCTCCTCTGTCTGTGAAACTCTCCAGGCAAGAATACTGGAATGGGTTGTCATTTCCTCCTCCAGAGGATCTTCTCTATCCAGGGACTGAACCCAGGTGTCCTGCACTGGGGGCAGATTCTTTACCCATCTGAGCCACCAGGGAAGTCTCCTGACACCACCCTTTACCCTGTTCCCCCAGCCAGTCCCTCAGAAGGCAGCAGACACAGTCATGCCTGAAGCTGTCAGTCCTCTGATGGGTCCCCTCTTCCCTATCTCAGTTAACAGCGTCTACTCAGCCACTCAACCCCCAAACCTGTTGTGCCAGCCTCGGTCCATCCTTTTGTTTACCAGCTGTCCATGTGATGTGTGACCCATCACCAAGTCTGAGTCTGCTTCTAACATGATCCTTAATGCCTGTGTTCCTGGCTCCCTTCACTGCTACCCCAGCCCAGGTCATCATCTTACCCTAGGGCCTTCTGGCTTCCCGTCTTGCCCACCACAACCTCCACACCGCAGCTGGAGCTCTGAACTGCCTCCCTCGGTTTCTGGGGCAGTCTGTGTTTCTCCGTGCTCTGGCCCGGAAGCCAGGTCTCAGCCTCAGTGGCGTCCTCCATGCACCCCACCTCCCCATCCACCCACCTGCACCCACCACACCGTCACTTCCTCGAACTTGGCCCCCAGCTGTTCCTTTCTTTGTGTCACTCTGGAGTGGACACAAGGTCTGACTCCACAGGAGCCATTCCTGCTTCCTCTTCTTTCCTGGCAAATGGGATTCTAGTTTTGATTGGGTGGCAACAAACTTAAGGCAACACACTGTTTTTTCTGCAGGTCCGGAAACAGATCTCCCATGTCCAGTGTCCAGGATAACGGTGGCCATTTCCTTTCCTGCTGCCAGGGATCAGTTTAGAAAGAACACGAGGCGGTCTCTACATCGGAGCCCCAAGAGTAAGTGTTTCCGGCCATTCATACGCCCAACCTCTGCTCTCGGTAGTTGGATTTCGTGTACTATCAGGCCGAAAGGGTGACGGTGCCGCTAGGATGAAGCTTGTGAGATTTTTGATGAAATTGAGTCACGAAACTGTAACCATTGAGTTAAAGAGTGGAACACAGATCCATGGAACAATCACAGGTGTAGATGTCAATATGAATACACACCTTAAAGCAGTGACAATGACCCAGAAGAACAGAGAACGTGTACAGCTGGAAACACTGAGTATTCGAGGAAAGAACATTCGGTATTTTATTCTGCCGGACAGCTTACCTCTGGATACCCTTCTCGTGGATGTGGAATCAAAGGTGTATTCTGAGAAAAGGGAAGCTGTTGCAGGAAGAGGCCTAGGCCGAGGGAGAGGATGTGGCCTAGGCCGAGGCAGAGGAAGAGGGGGTCCTAGGCCATGATGTCACTCAAGACTACTATTTCAAAGTAGCGGGGAAGGAAGACTAATCCATGACGGAGGAAGAGTATGAGGCCAAGGCAGAGGAATGTGAAGTCCTAAGCGATAATGTTGCTGGAGCTTACTGTTTCACAGGGGTGGATGTTCAAGTTTTTTGTACAGTCTTTGTTTGTAGCAGTTTTTAATAAACATAAATGTAACACATTTGTCTGTTGACTATATCATATTTTTAAAGTTCATGTGTATATACTTGATATCAACACAGTAAGAGCCAAGCATTTCTACTAGGTAGTCCCACAGTAATTCAATCTTAGATCAGGCTTTTAATTTTTTGAACTAAAATATTTATTTTATGAATGTATGTAGAATATATACCTTTTTATTTCACATGCACTGGCATGTTTTATTGTTTTACTTTGATTCCATTCTGTGTAACCCTCCTACAAGTAGTAAGTCCTTTTTGATACTTCAGAAACTGAGGTCCTGTGGAATGAGGTCTAAATTGATTCTCCTTTTCCTGAGTTTTGGTCCATGGAGACAGAGTTTCTTAGTAATAGGTGATGCTCATCTTCTAATTTGGGAGTTGTTGATTTTGTCATCATTGTTAATGGGTTTTTTTTGGGGGTGTTGCCAGACAGTGTGTGGGATCCTAGTTCCCCAACCTGGGATCAAACCCATGCCCATTGCATTTGAAGCAGAGAGTCGTAACCACTGGACCACCAGGGAAGTCTCTTATTTTACATTCTCTGTGTTGAAACTGTAAACAATGTTCACTAGATTATCTGTTATGAGCAGTGTTGAAACTTGTAAATGTGTAATGTACCTATCATTGGCTCCTGTACCAAATACTTTTACAAGTGGTTCTTTAAGAATGAAAAAAAGGCAACTGACTTATTTGCCAGCAAAACTGGATTCTTTCCTGTCATTAATAAGGATGTATTGAATTGCCTTAATAGATTAGATTTAGAGAAAAATGTTTCAGTCACTGTGTGACTCCTGTGCCAGCCCGTGGACTGTAGCCCACCAGGCTTCTCTCTCCACGGGATTTCCCAACAAGAATACTGGACTGGGCTGCCATTTCCTTCTCTAGGGAATCTTTCCAACACAGGGATCAAACCCATGTCTTTTGCGTTGGCAGGTGGGTTCTTTACCACTGAGCCATCAGGGAAGCCCTGAAGAATGTACCTCTCAGTACAGAGTTTCTTATAAAGCTAGTTTACTGCTTCTGTTTGCATACTAAGACGAAAACCTGACCGAGGATTGGAGTGAACTAGATTCTGTATTTTGATTTAATCATGTATGTGGGTTTGTTTAATGAAAAAAACTATTCTGCAAAGATTGTTACCAAACAAGATTTAGGCCTTCTGGGAGGTTAGGTAAATTGAGATAGCAACAGCATTTGTGTGTGGCATGTGTGTATGTGTGCTCATTCTTTTCCATCCTCTGTTTTTGTTCCTATTAATTGAATGCAAGCAGAAGGCAAAGGGACCCAGTGTTCCTCAAGGTGGGGAGACTTGAAGGGGACAAAAAGTAAAGCACAAGTTGTGAATAAACATAAAATGACTCCAGACCTCATGGTACTAACAGGCTGAAAGGGAAATATATACACAAATGCAAATTGTGAATACTCTGATAATACTTTGTATTATCTTGTCTGTTTCAAAAGCTGTGGAAGCTCATTTGAAATGCCAATAACAAAAAAAATGTTTTAACTGTGCCTTTTTTAAAAATTTTTTTGGCTGAGCCACATGACATGCAGGGTCTTAGTTTCCCGACCAGGGAGTCAAAACGGTGCCCTCTGCAGTGGAAGTGTGGGGTCCTAACCACTGGACCGCCTGAGAAGTCCCTTAACTGTGTCTTATTTTGTGAATTTTAATGTTTCAAAGTTTGCAGTGTGAAACCAGTCTGGTAACAGAGTTTAAATGTAAGGCTAAACCTAGTGGGTACTGCATTGAATTTGTCCACTTTAATAAATAATAGTTGTTTTATCAGCACAAGTGACTTTGAGAATAGCCAGAATTGCAATTTGGCAGTGCAAACTATGGCAGACCACAGGCAAATCCAGAGAACCAGGAAGGGGGCCTTGGTTTTTTTATAGGGCGTGGGGGAAGGAGGCAGGGAGGCTTTGGGAGGGGCAATAATAGAGTCTTTTGCAGGAAGAGGCCTCTCATTGGTTGGGTAACTACAGTTTCTGATTGGCTGGGCTCCCCAGGGGACAACAGATGGTTTCATCTTCAGATGTTTGAAGTAATTGGGTTCAAGTGAAGCTGGCCAGTTGGACCTCTGAACTTTCCTCATTGTCCTACTCCCTTTGGTTATCAAGGGCAGTCTTCACCAGGCATGTGGTATTATGAAAAGGATTGCCTTCTGTTTTTATGTTTTGGGGTGGGTTTTTTTTCCTTTTGGCTGCACTACTTGGTTTGTGAGTTCTTAATTCCCCAACCAGGGATCAAACCCAAGTCGTCAACAGTGAAAGCACAGAGCGCTAACCACTGGACAGCTGGGGAATTCCCAATTTGATATCTTTTAAGATTTTGTGAAATTTGGGAGTTTGTTTAAAGAAATAAATGAGTTTAGGTAGAAAACTGTAAGTGAGCTAATAGAGAAATTATATTTCACAGCATGTTTTGTTTTACTACAACTAGACTGGCTAAGCAAGGATGGTTTAGTATTTTGAAATGTAATAATGTGTTTAGTAGTCAAAATTCACATGGTCTTCCATATCAGAATAACATTTAATAACACAATTGTCATTCCTAAAAACCTAAAATGGACTTTGCTTATCATGTTGACGAAGAATTTTCTATCTTCAACCAACAACAGTCATTTCTAGAGATGGGCCAATTAAAACAACAAAAGAATGAAAAAAAAAAAAAAGAATGAACGAACACAGGCTACAGTTCTGGCCAAGGAGATGCGAGGCGAGTTTTGTGCTACAAGGGGTTTCTGTGTGTATATGTGTGTTTTCAGTCGTGTCTGACTCTTTGTGACCCCATGGACTGTAGCCTGCCAGGTTCCTCTGTCCATAGGATTTCCCAGGCAAGAATACTGGAGTGGGTCACCATTTCCTTCTCCAGGGATCTTCCCAACTCAAAGTTCAAAGTCACCTCTCCCGCGTCTTCTGCATTGGCAGGTGGGTTATTTACCACTAGCTCCACCTGAGAATGTCCTAATGTCCCTGGGAAGCCCCGCTCAAGCTTTTCTCCCTCTAAGGAAGGGAAACAAGGCAGGGAGGGACGTGCTGTCTGCCCCGTACCCTCTGAAGGTTGGGGTGCTGGTGGAGGAGGAGGGGGTCCTTGCTCCTGCCAACACTGGTCGCCGCTGGCAGGCCTGAATTTCACAAGAGAGCTGCTCGAGCCACTACCACATGTCCTGAGAGCCTGAACCTACGCCTCTGAATAACCCCTCTGTTATTATGGCCAAAACCACATCCACGATCGATATCTAAACTGGTCTCTCTGCTGACTTATCACTGCTACCTTCCACTCCTAAAATGTGAGCTCTGTGAGGGGAGGGGCTCTGTGTCACCATGTCCCCATTGTATGACCTGGGCACTGTCTGGCCTAACAACAGCAGGTGCTTAATAACTGCTGGCAGGGACTCAGCTTACTCGTCTCTGTGGTTCCTGGAGGGGCAGGGGCTCAAGCCTTCATGGGATCAACAAGCGAGGAAGCCAGAAAAGAGCTGCTTAAGAACCCAATTTAATAAGATTTACAAGTTGACACGTACAAAAAAAGAAAAACCAAACCTAACAATGTACAAGTCATGTCAAGACTAGTGGTGGATCTAGAATGCAGAGAGACCCTTAGTGAGGGGCCCTGGCGCGGTGGAGATCTGATGGCAATTCCCACTGATTCTCTACATCTTAGCCTACTGAATAAATGTAACCAAAGCCCGAAATGGAGGCTAAGAATGAAGAGCTACCCACACCTAACCTGTTCCCTCCCCAAGCCTAACTGCTCCAGGAAGAGTGGAACTGAAAGAAGGGGAGAGATAATGAACCCAAGAGAATGGAGCTTCCAACACAGTGGCAGGGCCTTCACGGGGTCAGATGACCGTGCGTCCCCTGCCTGCTCATGACCCGTGCCAGCTGTGTCTGCAAGCTGGGCTGGCCCCTGGTGACAGGGACAGGTGAGGAAGGCAGAGGGACACCTTGGGGAGACTTGCCGCTCTGCCCCCGCCGCCACCCCGCCCTGAATCACCACTGCAGGGATCCGATGTCAGCCCCCAGCTCCCCCCCCTCCCCCTCCTCCTCCTTCAGCTGGAAGGGCTTCACCGGCCACTTGACCCTGACGACGGGCTCCACGTGGTCCTGCAGCCGGTGCCGCTTCATGTGGGCATTTCGACTCTTGATCTTATCAAACACCCTGCGGAGACACCAGAGGACAGGGGGATCAGAGCAGGGGGAGGCGGGCGTAGGGGGGGGCACCCTGAGAGGATGGAGCAGGGCTGAGGGCGGGCGGCGCAGGCGCCTCCAGGGAGCCCAGTACCTCTCACACTCCCGGCAGGGAAAGGCGCCCTGGCCCTCCACGCTCCCCGGTGCCTCGGGGCTCCGCTTGGGGCCAGCGTTCGGGCTGGAGTTGAGGATGGACTCCCTCCTGTAACTCTTGGTCTTTATCTTTAGTTCGGGGGTTGGACGGTGGCTGGGTCTCTCCCGAGGACTGCAAGTGACCTGCAGGAGTGGGCAGAGATGACAAAACGGTGCTGAGCCACCCCTTCACCCTGCTAAGGGACCAGCATGGATCCAGAGCCCATGGGAATATCGCCCATGAGCAGCCCCTCCTGCCAGGAGCACCCCCACCCCCGCCCAGCGCGGATGGGCACCAGGCCTCCAGATCGGGCTGAACTCCAGACCCCCTGCCCCAAGACTCCCTACCTTGGCTTCCGCCCTGTCTACTTCATCTGGCTCCCTCCTGACCCTCTTTTCTGGCCCTGCGGCTCGGCCATAGTCAAACTTGATCATTTTTTTCCAGATGTAATAATACTCGACACACTGGGCTACGGTCTTTGTCTGGATCTGATGGGGGAAGACAGAAGCTGGCTATGGACAGCGCCTCAGGAGCAGTAGTGAGTGTGCCTCGATGCCCTAAAGCCCCTCCCCTTCAGGGGGTCAGCTGCCACTTTTTGAAAGCCCTCCTGAACTCTCTCCTGCTGTGGCTTGGCGGGCCCCTTTGCTAAAGGGGCAGAGAATCACAGACTCCTTCCGAGGGGTGAGGGGGTCAGAGAGGAAACCACCAGAGCCCACACCAGCTAAGCTCTGTGCGCTCTGAGCAACACAGCCAGCCCGGGAACCCCTCCCTCCAGGGAGACGCACACGGAGGTACACATTTACTGTGACACCACGTGGAGCCACGTGTCTACTGACCAGGACTAATTAAAGCAGAGTACCCTTATGCTGTGGGTGCTTCATGGCCTCTGCGACAGCTGGGCAGGGCCCTCCAGTAAGGACTGAGGGACGAGGCCCACAAGAGGACACACAGTGGGATGTCCTTAGTGATCCAGTGGTTAAGAATCTGCCTGCCAATGCAGGGGACAGAGGTTCGATCCCTGGTCTGGGAAAATTCCACATGCTGGGGAGCAACTAAGCCCTTGCACCCTAGAGCCCAAGCTCTACAATGAGAGAAATCCCTGTAATGAGAAGCCCATGCACAACAAGGCAGGCCCAGTGCAGCCCAAGATGAACAGCTTTTTAAAAGAGGACACACAATGGAATACGCCTCAGCAATAAACTGATGAATTACTGGCACACACGACCGTGGATGAAGCTCAAAACCGTTACGCTGGATGTAAGAAGTCAGACAAAGCAGATCACATGCTGTGTGATTACTCAATTTCTATAAAACTAGAAAATGCAAACTAATTTACAGTGGCAGGAAGCAGACAGGAGTTGATGGCAGGAAGGAAAGGTTACAAAAGTGCAGGAGGGAACTTGTGACCCCGTGGACTGTAGCCCGCCAGGCTCCTCTGTCCATGGGACTTTTCAGGTAAGTATACTAGAGTGGTTGCCATTACCTTCTCCAGGGGATTTTCCCAACCCAGGAATCGAACCCGCGTTTCCTGTGTCTCCCGCACTGGCAGGCAGGTTCTCTGCCTGCTGAGCCACCAGGGATAGGTACGTCAAAACATCACATCTTACACTTCCATTATGTGCAGTTTGTGGACAAGTTTTTTTAAAAAGAGCAAAATAATCAGTAGGATATCAAAGAAACAATCTCATCGTTTTTTGAGAAAGTGTACATATGTGTGTAAACTGTATGGACAATAAATGCCTGTCAGGTTACAGTCAGAAGTAGGACAGTGGGGTGGGGCCTGGAGGGCTTTATTTTGAACACGGGCTTCTTTTCTGTACTGTTTGGGGCTGTTCTCAGCGACGGCTTTTTAAAGTTGTTAGTCGTTCACAGCAGGAGCAGAGGGTCGCTCCCGACAGGCCCCGCGGCTCTAGCCCCTTGGTAGGGTGAGGGAACCTCGTCTATGCCAGCCTACCACGTGCGCCTTACCGTCTTGTGTATCAAGTTAAAGTCCTTCTTGTGGGCACAGAATGCCTTCTTAAAGAGCCTCTTCTCCATGGGGGTCCAGATGTCTGAACCTAGCAAGAAACAGCCGGGGGGGCATTTCCTCCTCTGGGACCACAGTCACGGCCCCTCCTTCTTCAGGCTGCCGTGACCCGGCACCAATTAGATGCCAGGATCTCTGCTAAGCCCCTTTCTTGCATGGTCTCCTACAATCCTCACAAAACCTTTGCAGGTAGGGGCTATTACCATCCCCACTTGACAGATGCCACAACTGAGGCATCCACTGGTTAAGTGACTCGCCCAAGAGCAGGCGGACTCCAGGGCTGGAGTGCCTGCCCCCAGCCCTCCCTGGCACCCCCTTCCCGGCCAGGCAGAGCCTAGGAGGGAATGAGTGGATAGAAGGTAGGAACCGGCTAGAGAACAGCGCCCATGGAGTCCCCCGGAGAGAGGACAGGCCCTCCTGGGAAGGCAGGTGAGACCCCAAGAGAACACCGCGAGGCACGAGCAGAGACTGCCATGGAAACTGACTGGCCCTCAGGAGCCTCAGCCAGGCCCTCACCACGCCAGCAGTCGTGCTCCCCTCACCTGTGTAGCGGTAGTTGGCGAGAGGGTGAGTTCGCGGCTTCTGGGGTCCTCTGAGTAAGAGGGTCTCCAGGGCAACCTGGAACAGACGCGTGGGGGGCGACTCTGAGCAAGGGCATGGGAGGTGGAGGCCGGCCTGCATCCCTTCATTCATCTGAAAACCCCGTGCAGCCTGCCCTAAAGCCATGCTCCCCCCAGGGCCACGCCAAGCCAGCCCACTCGCTCGCCCACCCCGCGCCTGCGCCTCACCTGGACATCACCCTGGGCTTCGTGCAGGCAGTGCAGCGCCAGCTCCAGGTTGGTGCCCCCGCCGGGCATCACGCTGGAGCAGGCCACGTTGCAGAGCTCTGTTACTGTTTCCAGGAGGGGAGGGAGTGGAGACACAGAGGGTCAGTGAGAGCCAGGGAGGAGGCCTCCCTGAGGGCACGGTTAGGGTGGGAGAGGCTCCTTGTCACCACCTCCCTCTAGTAGAGGCCGCTGAGAGCAGGGAGGGATCCGGAGGAAGGGCTGCCACCCTGCTCCTGGCACCTGCTCTGTGCAGCCTGCTGGCTACCGGGTGAGACAGGAGGTGGGCCAGGGACCGCAGGTGGAGCAGTACTGTGCTGAAGGCTGCCTCTGTGCCCCCCTCACCCCCCTCCCCCGCACACTGCTTCTTGGTCAGGGTGGGAACTGGGAGGAGAAACTCCCTGGAGATAGAGGAGGGCCCCTGGGACCCTGGCCCCAAGGTCTCGGCCACCTCTGTCCTGCGTTTCCGGGTTGCTCATCACATCTCCCCACGGCTTCCAGACCAGAGAAGCAACGTGCTCGTCAGTCCCAGCCAGAGATCTGTCCTGGAGCTCTGGAATTTCAGCCTGAAACCGGCTTCCTATGTTGATGTGTCTGAAACAAGGCCACACCCACAGGCGTACAAGACACAGGTAAGTGCAAACCAAGATGGGAAGTAAAGCAGAGACACTCCGTGAGCCCTGCTCGTGGGCCTCGGCCCTGCTCTGTGGACGCCCTCTGCCATCTTTCAGACACACGGAGTGTCTGTTACCCCAACAGACACATGCAGGCATTCCAGAAACCTCCTGAGGGACACTCAATTCCTTCCTCCGATTTTATAGCCAGGTTTCTGGCCTCAGCCGCCTGGGGTCTAGGACAGGGGAGGTGTGTGCTGATACCCGGCCTGCTTCTATATCCAAGGTCCCCTTCATCTAGCTTTAGTCCATGGCTCTGCACGAGTATCTCACTGTGCCATTGGCATTTCTACCCAGAACCCCAGTGTTCTGGGCCTTCTGTCCTCAGGGAGCCAACTATGGTACGTCTGGACAGATGGAATGCTGGGGGGACAGCTGGAAAAATCCAGCACTTCTCTCCTGGAGGGGCTCAGCACCTACACCTGGGTTCCCCGGGATGAAGGTGCCGACAGAGCCACAGGAATGCGCAGAAGGTAAGAGCGTCCCCATTTTGGAAGGACCCTCAGGTTCTAAGTCTGTCCCAACTCACGGTTCAATGCTGATCTTGGTGTCGTCCTTAACCACACAGATGCCAAAAGAGTCATCCAGGGGATCTGGAAAACACATAAAGAAGAGCCTCAAAAAGGCTGGCTACAACTGACCTGTGAGGCCCTTTCTGACTGCCTTTCTGGAGCAGCTAAAAGCAGGTTCTTTTAAGATTTCATGGTATAGACTCAATACTGTATATAAAATAGATAATCAACAAGGACCTACTGGACTTCCCTGGTGATCCAGTGGTTAAGAATCCACCTTGCAATGCAGGGGACACGGGTTCGAGCCCTGATCTGGGAAGATCCCACATGCCACGTGCACCGCAACTGCTGAGTCAGGTTCTGAAGTGTGTGCACCCAGGGCCCGTGCTCCGCAACCAGAGAAGCCCCCACAGTGAGAAGCCTGTGCACAACTAGAGAGCAGACCCCGCTCACCACTCGAGAAAGCCCGCACGCAGCAAGGAAGACCCAGCACAGTCCAGAAAACGAAACAGAACAAGAAAAAAAACAAGGACCTACTGTACAGCACAGAGAACCACACTCAATGATCTGTAATAACCTCTATGAGAAAAGAATCTGAAAAAGAATAGATAAGTGAATAACTAAACCACTTTTGCAGAACCCCGGAAACACAACATTGTAAATAATCATACTCCAATAAAAAAACTATACTCCAATATAAAATAAAAAATTAGAAAAAAAGACTGCATGGTATGGAATTATCTCAAAAATTAAAAGCAGAACTATCATGTGGTCCAGCAATCCCACTTCTGGGTATTCATCCAAAAGAACTGCAGTCAAGATCTTAAAAAGACATCTGAACTCCCATGCCCACTCCAGCACTAGTCACGGTAGCCAAGATGTGGAAATAACCTCAATGTCCCCTGACGGGTAACTCCATAAAGGAAATGCGGGATGTACCTGCAATGGAGTACTGCTGCTAAGTCACTTCTGTCGTGTCCGACTCTGTGCGACCCCATCCCTGGGATTCTCCAGGCAAGAACACTGGAGTGGGTTGCCATTTCCTTCTCCAAAGCATGAAAGTGAAAAGTGAAAGTGAAGTCGCTCAGTCATGTCTGCCTCTTCGCGACCCCATGGACTGCAGCCCACCAGGCTCCTCCGGCAATGGCATACTATGTAGCCTTAAAAAAGGAAGCTCTGCAGTACGCAGTGGCACAATGAACCTTCATACAGTGCTCGTGGGAATGTAAAATGACCGTTCTGGAAACAGTCTGGCAGTTCCTTAAACAGTTAAACAGTTACCCTATTGACCAGCAATTCCACTCTGAGGCATACACCCAAGAGAAATCTGAACTTAGGTACAACAAAAACTGATGCCCAAGGGTTCTTAACCAGCGCTCTTTGCAGTAGCCAAGGGACAAAAACAGCCCAAGTGCTCATCAACTGATGAGTGGCTAAATAAAAGGTCACCTGTCCAGACAATGCAGTATCATTCATCCATAAAAAGAATGAAGACCTGATGCATACTACAACAGGGGTAAACCCTGCAAACGTTACTCCAAGTGAATAAATCAGACAAAAACTCACGTATCATAGGACACCAATTCTGTGAAATGTCTAGAGAAGGCAGACCCCTAGAGAGTAACTTGGTAGGTGAGTGGTGCCCAGGGCTGAGGAGCTGGGGGGCTGTGGGGCCTGTGTGTAACTGCTCATGGGCACAGCACGTCTCCTGGGGAGAGGAACTTAGGGTCAGACTGTGTGATGGGTTCACAACCCTGTGGACGTTCGCACAAACACTGCACACTTTAAACAGGTGGTCCCTGTGATCTGTGAATCACATCTCAGTAAAGCTGTTTGAAAATTACTCAAAAGACTGGGCAGAAGGGTGGCTAGATTAAATGGCCTCTGTTTTCTTTCTGCCTACAAAATTACAAGCACCTACAAGGCTGCTGGTCCCAGATGGTCCTGGGATAGTTCTGAACAGCATCGGGACTGCCAGACCAACCCAGCCATAGGCCAGGGAGAACGGCCGGACCGCATACTACCGGAGGGGTGGGTCTGGCCTGTCGCGGCCCTGCCAGAGGGGGTGGGGATCAGCCTCACTCACTGAGCACGGTGCTGATGAGCCTGTCGGGGCTGGCCTGAGCGGACGTAGAACAGAGGGTGTTGAAATAGAGTCCCGAGCCCTCCCGGATGGGGCTGAGCATGGGCGGCGGCGTGTAGGGCGAGCACTGGAACAGCCCCTTCAGGAGGCGGTCCACCAGGAACACAGGGGAGCGCAGGCGGCTCTGGTGACACACCCCTGGGCCCGGCTGCCCGAGCTTGGGGGGCGGAGGAGAGGCGAACAGCACCTTGGGCTGCGGGCGCTTCTTCCGCTTTCGGTGCTGGCCATTCTCCTTGCTGCTTCTCTCATCCACGTCCTTCTCCTGTCCTTGGACAAGAAGAGGCTTCAGAACCCCGAGGGGTCACCTGAGGCCACCTGCCTCAAGCTCAGTCCTCAGGACGGCAGGAGAACAGGACAGGTAGCGACCACAGAGATGTATGCCTGGCCTGGCTGTGCCCACAGCCCTCAGCAGAGGAGGCCGGGCAGGGCCACCATGCCCGCGCCAGACCCCAGACCCTGAGCTGGGCGGTGCGCGAAGCTGGAGCCTTCTCGTGCATCCACACCCCCAAGGAGAGGCCCTCCCTCAAACCATTTTGGAAACTTGTTGATCGCTCGACTCACTACACTCTCTTTCACCTCCATGCAATCTGCAACCCCCACCCCCCATCTTACTCCTTCTCATCTTCCAGACCTAAGCTCCAACACCCCCTCCTCCAGGAAGTCCTCCCTGGCCTCCTCAGGCTGGTCTCTGGCGCCCCCTTGGGGCTCCCACAGCTCCCTCTGCTCCCCTCCCAGCCCAGCCCAACCCACTCCAGGCATCACTGTCTGGGAATGGGGGCTCTCCACTCCACTGGGCCGGGAGCCCCAGGAGACAGGCTGCTGTGGTTGCTGCAGTGTCCCCAGCGCAGGGTCAGACACAGAGGAAGTCCAGTGGAAGGTGAATGAATGAATGGATTTGAAACTAAGCTCTTCCAGAGTCAGGAGTCTGAGGCTTTTCTCACGGCTCCCACCGGCAGATGGAAAGTGGCGGGACGGAGGTGGACTGATCAGCACCCACCTTGCTGCCTGGGGGGCGGCTTGCTGGGGCCACAGGTACCGACACTGGGACCCCCAAAGCAGCTGCAGCTGGGTTGTCCAGGCTCTTTCTGGCTCCCAGGGGACTCTGCCCATCCCCCTCTGGCCTCAGCACCTGTCTTGAAGGCTTGCAAAACTCCATGCCAAACACCTGCACACAGAGAAGAGACAGCCCTTTAAGGGAAACAGCAAGTTGGGAGCAAGGGCCCCTCCAGAGTAGCATCGCCCTGGCTCCCAGCCCCAGCCAGGCCCCCACCTCCCCCCAGCTCCGGCGAGCTGAATGCAGCCTCACGCCCCTTCACCTGTGGATCCTGCTTCCCTCGAGGGGACGGCCACTGGTCGCTGTGGAAACACATGTGGCTGTTCAGCCCCTTCTCTGTATAGAACATCTGGCTGCAGTTCTTGCAAATGTAAGTGCTCCGCGGCTCTGCCCAGTCTGCGGGGCCCCTGCTGTGCTGGTGACTGTGGGGAGATGTGTAGGGAGGCAGGGAAGGCAGGATGGGGCTCCACCCCCAAGCCCGGATACACTGACAGCTCCAGGCGAACTGAAGGGACGGAGATGATGCCCTGATCCCCCACGGCCTGGTGCGCGCCCCTTCGGGAGGCAGCACCCACAGTCGCCCCCTGGGCCGGCAGGTCAAAGGCACCAGAGGACTCCCGGGGGGCTGAGCTCCCCTGGCGGGGCAGGGAGGGGCGCCTGCACTTACCAGCCACCGGCTATGTCCTCCTCCTCCATCGGGTGGGGGAGCCGGTAGATATTTCCACCCTGGAGATGAAAACACACCTGAGCCAGCAGATCAGAAATGAGGTGCAGGAGTGAAAGCTGTGAGGCGCTTAGGAGAAAACAAGGGTGTCATTCTTAGTGACCCTGAAGTAGGCCATGGTTTCTTGGGTGACTCCAAAACCAATGACAGAATAAATCAGCAAAACTTAAACCTTTTGGGCCTCAAAGGATACCATCAAGAAGTGAAAAGTCACAGGTTTCTAAAACAAACTTACGGTTACCAAAGGGGAAAGGTGGGGATAGGGGGTTTGGGATTAAGAGAAACACAGGACTAAATACAGAACAGGTAATCAACAAGGGCCTACTGCAGGGCACAGAGAACGCTACTCGGTATTCGCCACAAGGGGAAAGAATCTGAAAAATGATGGGTATGTCTACACACGTATATCTGAATCACTCTGCTGTACACCTGAAATCAATACAACACTGTAAATCAACTACAATATAAACTAAAATTTTTCTAAAAAGTTAAAAGACAGAATGGGAGAAAAAGAGTTGCAAATCATGTATCTGGTAAGGGTCTTGTATCTGTAATACATAAGGAATTCTCACAACTCAAGAGGAATAACACAAACCAACTTAAAAATGGGCAAAGTCTCTGAGTAGACACTTAACCAAAGAGGATGCATCAATAACCAATAAGCACATAAAAAGATGCTCAAGACTGTTAGCCATCAGGGAAATGCAAATCAAACCGTCACGAGGTATCACTTCCCACCCACTAAGGTGGGTGCATTAGAAGGAAACAGATGGACAATAACAAGTGTTGGTGAGAAGCTGGAGCCCTCAGACTCTGAGTGGGAAGGTAAAGTCGTTTTTGGAAAAGTCTGGCAGTTTCTGAAACAGAGAGGATTACCCCATAATCCAGGATTTCTGGTGTTATCTCCCAAGAGAAATGAAAACATGTCCAAACAATAACAATAGCAAACGTTAATGGCAGCACTATCACAATGGCCAAGAAGTGAAAACAACCCAGATGTCCATCAGCTGATAAATGGACAAACAACATATGGTGTATTCATACAATGGACAATTACTGAGCAATACAAAGGAAAGAAGTTCTGACCCACGCTACAATACAGATGAACTCTGAAAACATCGTACTAAGTGGAAGAAACAAATGACACAAAAGGCCACATAGTGTATGATTCCAATCACAGCAAGTGTCCAAGACAGGCAAATCCATGGAAACAGGAGGTGGACTCATGACTGCCAGGGGCTGGGAGGGATGGAGAGACTGCAGTAGACAGCTAAGGGTATGGGGTGTCTTTTGGGGGTGATGCAAATATTTAGGTAAAGAGCAGTGAAATACAAAAGTGCGCAACCTTGTAAATATACTAAAAAACCACTGGATGGTACATTTTTAAATGGTGAATTAGGGACTTGCTAGTGGCCCAGTGGTTAAGACTGCACGCTTCCAATGCAGGGGGCATGGATTCAACCCCTGGTCAGGGAGCTAACATCCCACATGCCTCGCGGCCAAAATAAAATAACCAAATATAAAACTGAAAACTTAATCTCAAAAAAAAAAAAAAAAAACAGTGAGTGAGATAGCATGTAAATATTAAAGCTGCCAAAAAAAAAAAAAAGGATGAGATAGCTGTGGGCTGACAGGAAGGATGCTGGACCTCAGCACGTCAGCAGGAGGCGGGCGCGGCCAAGCCCTCTATTCCCGGGACCTCATGGGGGCCACGTGGGAGGACCTGAGCGCTCCACGAGGGCAGAGCAGCGCAGGGCCAGCAGCGGGGGCCAAGTCAGACATGTGACCCATGACTCACGACCAGGAAAGACACGGCATTTCACACAGCAATGTCAAGGGCCGAGGAGCTCTACCTTTACATCCTCTGAAGACGTGAAGGAGGCAAATCCAAAATGAAGCGAGAGGGAGAAAGAAAGCAGACGAAAACATGTAGTGAAGCAACGTGACACCAAGTCTCTCTCCCAACTCGAAAGCCCTGTTTTGTGTGTGTGTGGTGGGGTGGGGGTGGGGGTGACGATGGGAGGGACCACCTCCTCTCTCAACCCTCCCTCCCCATCTCTGTACAATTGCATCTGAGGATTCGCTGAGGTTAAATAAGGCGCCTGGACAAGTCACAAACCCGGAAACAGGTAATGACGAGACTCTGCCTCCTGTATGGTGAAGTCCGTGAGATGGCCCCAGTACCTGGATCCTGTTGAATATCGTCAGTTTGGACTTGGAGTCCCGGGAGGGCTCTGCTGGAGGTCCGGCCGACGAGAAGGAGGCCATGGCCACCTGGCTTGGGGAAGCCGCACAGCACATGTCCATTTTCACCTTCTCCTTCCGGAAGCCTGAAAAGCGCTGTGCTCTGGAGTTGCCGAAGAGCCTGTAGCCTCCACCCCGGGAGCAGGCTGGGCCCTTTTCGGCTTTTGCGGCCCCGGAGGCCGTGCCATTTTCGGCTTGGGTCTGCTTCCCTGGGAGGTGGGTTCTGGATGGCTCGTCCCCTCCTAACTGGGTCTGACACAGGCTCCCGGGAGAGAAGATATCCCCCAGGTCCAAGGTCCCTTTTGAGGATCTCAACTGCTTGGCCAGAGAAGAGATGTCTGGGTTCCCGGGAGGGTCCAGGGATGGTGCTGTGAGGGCTGGTGGAGCAGCAGCCACTTTTGGTCCACCCTTTGCATCCCGGCTCATGCTGCCAGGTGAGGCCTCCCTGGGGAAAGTGGATGTGTATTTTCTTTGGCGGGCTGGCGAGCTCTCTGGCTCAGGGTTCATTGGGCCAGCATGGAGGGAGTCAACAGTGGGCGTCAGAGATGGGGGCTGCTGTGGCCATGGCCCCTGCAGCGGCTTCAGGGGGACCTGTTTGCCATCAGGAGTGGGGAGCTGGGAGGAAGCGGTGGCCACCTGGGCATGGGAGAAGATCCGCTGGGACTTGGTGATCATCTGGAACACCTGCATCTGCTCGTGGCTCACCAGGGACTCCTGCGACTTCAGGAAGAGCTGTCGGAAGAGTGGGGTGGCATCCGATGAGAGGCTGCCGGGCTTCGAGCCAGGGTCCTGCGAGCCAGGGTCCCCGGGTTTCGGCCACCGGAAGGAGTCGCAGTCAAACTTGCTCTTCTTGGGAGCCCAGCAGTCATCATCCCCACTGGCACTGGCAGATCTGGGGTCCCCTGACGCCTCCCCGGGAGCCTTCAGGAGCATGGGAGGGAAGGGCGGCACGTCCTCTGGGCCGGGCCCCAGGCAAGCAGAGGGCTCCCCAACCGGGGAGGTGCTGCTGAGCCCAGGGCCAGGCTCAGAGCCCTCCTGGGATGGCGGCTTATGGACGACAAACATACTGTTGTTCCCTTTGCTCTTGGGGCAGCCTGACAAGTTCTGGAGCCACTGGAAACTGTGGCTTGATGGCTGGGAAGCAGTGGTGGGGACTGTCTGGCCACGGAACAGAGGCAGGCAGGAAGGCAGAGGGGTGCCCTCGGGCCAGCCCTCCGGGGAGGAGAGCTGGAGCGGCTCGAGCTCAGCTGGGTCGGGGCCGCTGCTCTCCGCCGCCCGCGAGTGGATGGCCGTGAACACGTCAGCGGCGGGCTCCTTCCGTGGGGGCCTCGGCTCCTCGAGAACATCAGGGCCCAGGGTCCCTGGGGCGCCAGCTGGGCCGCAGCAGGAGGACCCCGAGGGGGATGGGCAGGAGCAAGCCATGCTCCTCCCCTCGCCGCCGTCCGCAGGCCCAGCCGGCCCGGGGGATGGGATCTTGTGGTGGACGATGCTGTTGACGAGGCAGCGCAGGAGGTCCCGGTTGGGCAGGAGGGGACCGGGGGACCTCAGGTCGGATGGTGTGGGCTGGCCCGCCCCCTCGTGCGTGTGGGGAAAGTCCCCACAGGCCTCCTCCTCTGGGGGCACCTCCTTGAGGATGCACAGGCCGTGCTGGACCTCGTAGTGCCGGCGCAGTGAGCGGTAGTCGCAGTAGCTCTTGCTGCAGCCCTGCTCGATGCACACGAAGGGCTTGGTTTTCTGGTGTGTGAGCATGTGTCCGGTCCTGGAAGCACACGAGGATGGGGTCATGGGGGGTCTTGGCGCGGGTCGCCCGTCGCAGGAACCCAAGCACGTCCTCAGGGGCCAGCAGGGCAGAAAATGGGCTCAGGCCCCACGAGGAAAAACCCCCCACTAAGGTCAAAGTCATCTGGAACAGGGGCTCTTTCCCTCACCCTTAAGCAAACCCCTAATGAGAGAAAAAATCATGGGAGCCAAGTCAAGAGTTCTCCAAAGCAACACCAGTCTCCAGAGTTGCTCCCTGGGGGCGTGGGCTCAGCTGGCAAGTGAGTTTTGAAAAAACACTGTTTACTTCTTGGATGTTCATAGTAGCAAAGTGAAAAGCCACAGAGTAGATTTAACCTGTTTAACTTTCCACGTCTCTCCAAGTTATCTACCCACAGGATCACTTTTTTTTTAAAGAGCCCCTTTTAGCATCCCTGAGAACCAGAGTTCGGAGAATGCACTCGAGGAAGTGTTAACTTGGGGGTGCTCCTTCTTTGAACAAAGGAGTCTCTGCCTTCCCACAGGATCCCTCTAGAGAACTACCTGTGACCCCCATTGCAAAACAAAAAGAAAAAAATTACAGATGCCCAATCAGTAAAGACTCTCTAGAAAACAGCCAAATTTGCCTATAATTTCTGCAAATATGAATGAATACAAATGTCTTATATCACACTTGTATCTACATTAATTTATTATAAAAATAAGCAAATAAAAGCAAACGGGTAAATCACCCTCTGGGTTCCCAGCAGCCCTACTCTGGATGGTTCTAATAGATGTAGCACAATAAATAAAAAAATTCTCCCCCCAAAGATGGACCCTTAGCTTCCATCTGAGGGAAGCAGCAGAGAAGGGATGAAGAGACCCACTTTCCAGCCCTAACTATTACTATCCTGTGACATGAGCAAATTACTTCCTATCCCTGGCGGGGGGGCCGGGAGGGGGCATAGAACGAAAGCAGGATTCGCTGATGCTCTGTGAAGGCTATGCTCCTCAGTTGCTCAGTCGTGTCTGACTCTTTGTGACCCTGTGGACTGTAGCCCACCAGGCTCCTCTGTCCAGAAGATTTTCCCAGCAAGAATATTGGAGTGGGTAGCCATTCCCTCCTCAAGGGGATCTTCCCGACCCAGGGATTGAACCCACGTCTCTTGCATTGGCAGGTGGATTCTTTACCGCTGTCTCTCCTGGCAAGCCTGGGCATGCTATCAAAAGGTGAAGGATCATCCTTCCCACTTACAAGTCTTTCCATTTGAAAGTCTGTCTTTCCTTCCTCAGTAGCAAGAAAACCTAATCATTTCTAAGACATGAAGAACAAAGGGAATTCTGCTCTTACACTGGGTTTGCTTTTTAAAATCAAGAATTAAGAAAAAAAAAAAAAGGGAGAGTGAACATTCCAGGCATTTCATAGCCTCTCACAGCCTCTTATCCCAACACATACCCCTCACGGAGCACAGATTCGTTCTCTTCAGGCACCTGCTCCACATCTTTCTGCACAGAGTTAGCCCAATTCCCTCCAGGACAAAACTGCTCCTGGGGTGTGTCTTTAAACCACAGGGGTCCCGTCTGCCAATCGCAGCGGCACTCTCCTCACTGGAGTGGATTTGGGGGCTGGGGCTGTGTGGGCCTGGCCCCCAGAACCCTGGCAGCTCAAGGAGACTAGTCTGCGTTTGAGCACAGGCTGCACACACCTGGGGAGCTTGACAGGGCAGGAGTGTGGGTTGATGGGAGGGGACGCTAAAGACCCAGGCACGCCCCCAGCCCCCTGAGCGGACGTCCTGACCCAGCCACTACGCACAGGTGGTCCTGCCGCTTGAAGGCCTTGCTGCAGATCTTGCACACGTGCTTCCTCTCCTGGCTGTGCGTCAGGTAGTGCTTGCTCAGGGAGCTGGCGCTGCTGAACACTTTCCCGCAGAGGCTGCAGTCCAGGAGCGTGTTCTGCGGGGAGCTGTGCTGCCGCCTGCCTTTCCGCGCACTCCCCGAGGTGGCCCGGCCTCCTTCATCCGCCTCTTTGGGCACCTTGAGGGCACCCAGCCCCAGGTCTAGACGGAGGAAGAAGGCACAGGTTCTAGACCTCCGGGGACCTCCACAGCCCACCAGGCCCGGGCCCTGGGCACAGCCTCACCTTGTAAGGAAGTCTGAGGCTCAGGATCTACGTACTCCTCCAGCAGCTTCATGGAGTCACTGGCCTTCCCTGAGTACAGGGACAGTGTGTCCAGGTTATCCTCCGGCGCCTCGCTGGGCGGGTCGGGCGCCGGGAAGCTGGGGTCCAGCTCCAGACCTCTCAGGCCGCCGTAGAGCAGGTCCCGCGTGCCAGGCCCCAGGTCCCGGTTGAGGGCGTCGCTGCAGGTGAGCGCCTGGCTCTCAGGGAAAGAAGGGAGGTGCATCTCGGAGGGAAGGGCGCCCTCGTCCCCCACGCTGTACTGGTCCATGGCTCTCCACCGCCAGGGCTCGGCCAAGAGCTACTCTCCAGACAAGCAGGGCTGTGTGCGGAGTCAGGGAAGAGAGAGCAGGTCTTGATGGTGTCTAATTCCTGAAAACGAACGAGGAAGAATCAGAGTTATGAGAAGGCAACAAGCACGGTGGACAGAATGGACTTGGAATTCACCCAGACGTGTATTGGGGTCTGTTCTCTGCCACTCGGCAGCCATGTGACCTTGGGCAGTCACTCAAGCACCATGAGCCCTAGTTTCCTCATCTGTAAATTCAGCATAAGAGTATCTCCATTGTGAGACTGCTGTAAGGAATAAATTTAAAAGGTTTTGGGGACATGGCGGACTGAACTGACCTCTTTCTCCAACTATAAACTCATGAGATACAAGACAATTTTTAACACAGAGCCAGGCTCAAGAGACAAGTAAGACCCTGGGTGCCAGCAACAATGAAGAAACCCAAAGCAAGAAGTGTGAGTTGGCCCACGAGTGGGCCCAAGGTGAAGTCAGTCTCCAATATGGGGCCCAGAGCTATCCTCCAATATGGCGTCCACCAGTGAGTGACTGACATGTGGTGATGAAGCACTTGAAATGTGGCCCCAAACTGAGACCTACTGTGGGTGTAATTTAAATACTGGATTTGGAAGACTCAGTACCAAAATTAACTCATTTTCATATTGGTTACATGTTGAAATGAAAGCATTTTGGATCTACTGGCTTAAATATGATATTAAAACTAATTTCAGCTACCTATTTTTATTTTCTAACATGGCTGTGAGATTGCTTTAAATTACACTATCTGGCGCATATTATATTTCTATTACAGAACACCATCCTGGAGGCTGTCACAAACAGATGGAAGAGCAAACAGGGCCTTGAGTTCACATGGAAGAGCTGGGGCCCTGGAAAAGTCAAGCCATTCACAGAAAAAATAAATAAATTAAAAGAAAAACCCTACACACAAGCCTAGAGAGGCATTCCAAGAACTAGTTAGCAATAGGATGAGACATAACAAAACCTAGTAGAGAAAAGAAGACACAAGGGGCAGGGGTGCTTTTAAAAACAAAGAAATGAAACTTCTAGAAATGCAAGGTTCTAACTCAGAACTCGCTGAGAGCAGACTGGAAATGGAGAAGGCGTTTGTCAACAACATTCAAGGCAAAGAACCAGTTACTGCAGCCGGGGGCAAAGAATATTCAACTGAGACTGACCATGGACACCACTCAGACGGGGAGAAAAGTTGGAGAGTGAGATGCTTTGGGGAAAAAGGGCTTCGAAAGACTTCTGCACTGGTGTGTGTGCTAAGTTACTTTAGTCGTGACTGATTCTTTGTGACCCATGGACTGTGGCCCACCAGGCTCCTCTGTCCGTGGCAGTCTCCTGGCAAGAATACCTGGAGTGGGTTGCCATGTCCTCCTCCAGGGGATCTTCCCCACCCAGGGATCGAACCCACATCTCTTGCAACTCCTGCATTGCAGGTGGATTCTTTACTGCTGAGCCACCAGGGAAGCCCTTCCGCACTGGTAGTTTCTTACAAAGCTAAACATAAACATGGTCTCACCATACTATCCAGCCATCCCATTCCTAGGTATCCATCCCAATGAGCCCAAAACTTACAGCATCTTTATTTGTGACTGCCCCAAACAGGAAGTAACTAAGATGTCTCTCAACAGGGGAGTGGATAAACTGTGGTTAGTCATATAATGGGATATCATCCACCAATAAAAAGCTAGGAGCAAGTAAGCTACAAAAAGATATGGAAGAAAGAAGCTTAAATGCGTATCGCTAAGTGAAAGAAGCCAGTCTGAAAAGACAGTACATTATATGATTCCAACTATATGATATTCTGGAAAAGGCAAAACTATAAAGAGACGTTAAAATGATCTATGGAAAAAAAATTTAAAAAAATAAAATAAAATGATCTATGGTGGCCAGGGTTCAGGGGTAGAAAAGAGAGATGATCAGATGAAGCACAGGAGGGATTTTCAGAGGAGTAAAGCTATTCTGTACAGTATTGCAATGGGAGATACACGACATCACATGTAGGTCAAAACCTACAGAGCTACACAACACAAGGAGTGGGCCCTAAGGCAAACCATGGACTTCTGCTGATTTAAAAAAACAAAACCAAACCTTTTACCTATTCCATATTCCAGGGACTCTAGAAGGCTGCATGCCCAGGGCAGGCCAGTGCTCAGAAAAGGCCTGAGAAGGCTCTAGCTGTCACCTCTGGCTAACCTGGGCTCTGTGCAAGCAGGAAGTGAAGGTGAAAGCAGAGTTGTGAAATGCCTGCTGCACATCAAAGGCCCGTCTCAACTCTCACTCAGAGCCCAACTGTGAAGACTGGAAGACTGCGAATGGTCTGAGGTGGGGTTTGTTTGGTTGCATTCCCTTTGGACGACTGAAGGGCATCTCTGTCACATCTCTCAACTAACAGGAGACACACTTCACTGACCACACACGACCAAAAATACAGTCTTTATGAAAACAGCCCAGAAAAGTCACTAAGTGATCACAACACTCAGCGTGCATCAGCAAAGCCTGAGAGGGGGACCTGGCTACCAGAGTCACCACGTTATAACGCTCAAAATGTCCAGTTTTCAACAAAAAATCAGGACACATGCCAACAAAGTGTGGAGAAGGCCATCCATCGCCTATGAATGGCATCAAATAATATGTAGTCTTCTCTTCCCGGCTTCTTTCACTAAGCAGAGCATTTCTGAGTGTGATCCCCCCCGCCCCAGGGCGTGAATCATCACTTTATTCCCGTTTATGGATGAACACTATTCCACTGTCTGGATTTTCTCCATCCATTCATGTGTGGGTGGGTATTTGGGTTGTTCTGAGCTATCAAGAGTAATTCTGTCCATAGTGAGACATTTAATAAACACTCAATGACTCACTGATAACAAATGGAGTGGATCCCAGAAAAACTGGAGTTTGGGTCTAGTTTCCTAGGCCATAGGTGTCTGCTGTTTTTAAACTTTTCATGATGCAATATAACAGAACAGTTGCACCCTCAATGTCAGAGCGTCCCACTACGTGTCCACCTGTGTGTCTGTGTAAGGAGTGTACTGAGGGCCCTTGAATGAAGGCTCAGTGCAGGTCAGAAATCCTGCACCAGAACTCTGGGACCCAGGTGAGTCTCAGAACTCAGAATCTGTGGTGGGGGAGGTTAGAAAGGTAAACCAATGCATATGCCACATGGTGAGCAACCCCTGGGGGGTACCTTGACCATTCCAGCTTCCCTTTTAGCTCAGTTGGTAAAGAATCTGCCTGCTATACAGGAGACCTGGTTCGATCCCTGGGTTGGGAAGACCCCCTGGAGAAAGAAATGGCAACCCACTCCAGTATTCTTGCCTGGAGAATCCCATGGACAGAGGAGCCTGGTGGGCTACAGTCAATGGGGTCGCAAGAGCCAGTTTGACTTAGCGACTAAGCTACCACCACCACACTCTGACCACTCAGAGTAAATGAAATAAAGACAGCGAAGAGCAATGTGTGAGTTCAGGTATGGCCACCAATGAGGTTGCAGCCACCTCAGCATTCTCAGAGCTTTTGGGAATTCTAAATTGCAGACAAGAGAATGTGGATTACCGAGGTTTATATTCCAGGACAAAGGGGATTTCTCTGCCAGTTCCAAAGTTGCTTCGGCAGGGCTGCTATAAAGTGTTCGAAGAACTCCAAGGGGGAAAAATCCCATTCCTTTCACCTCTCATCAATAAAAAACAAGCGAATAATACAAAACATAAAGCATTATTTCAAAGAAACAGAAAGCAATATCTTACAAAGTCAAATCGTAAACATTTTCTCCTTGTTAGACATCACGCTAAGTGCTCTACGTTTATGAATTCACTCTCCACAACATCCCGGAGGTTGGTTCTACTATTACTTTCCTTTTTTTCCTCACTTCCATTTAACAGAGAGGAAAAGGGACTCTGAGCAAGTAACTCATTTGTCAAAAGTCACACACCTAACTGGGAGTTGAACCAGATCTTAAACCCAGATGTTTGAACTTTAGAGCCTGTGTTCTTACCTACTACACAATACTGATTCCCTGTAAGTTAAACTATAGATGGCACTGCACCAATTATACTAGAAAACACGAAAGGTGCAGGATGCAGGTGGGGCGGGAGACAGGTTACATCTCTGATTTCCCCAATGTCCAGTCACCTGCCTTCCAACATATTGGTACAGTCCATGTCACAAACTCGGCTGGTTGCAACCTTGGGCAGGCATGCCAGAAGTCCAAAGGCCATGCTTTGATATCTACATCCTTTTCCAGAGAGTAAAGCAAACCCCCACTCAACCAATATTGAACTTGCTCTTGTTCTGTCAACAGATAATTCAATTCAACAAGTTTTAGCACCTGCTAGGCAGAGAGCTCCCTCCTAGGCCCTGTAGGGTAGCATGTCTTGTCCCTTGGAGACATTCCCAAACGTCCAACTACTCTTTCTAAGAGTTCTGTTATTTTGTGCTTTCGTTTTGAGAACAATCTAAAAGAACATCTGTATATGTGGATTACTGGATTACTACTTTATCACCTAGGGTGTGTGCAAGAGTGTGCTCAGTCATGTCCGACTCTGAGACCCCATGGACTTAAGCCTGCCAGGCTCCTCTGTCCACAGGATTTCCCAGACAAGAATACTGGAGTGGGTTGCCATTTCCTTCTCCAGGGGATCTTCCCCACCCAGGGATGGAACCTGCATCTCCTGCACTGACAGATGGATTCTTTATCACTGCACCACTTGGGAAGCCCCTGATCACCCATCCTACTAGCATTTGGTTTCAATGCCCCAGGGTAGGTTTATAATTGCACTAATACCAGTAATGCCCGATGGGACAACTTTAATTGCTGCAGGCTAATGAGAAGAGTACAGAGGTGGATCTGGCTCATGATAATGCTTTTGGGCTCAACTAAAGCCAACAGACACAATGGTACAAGTTGAGGTTTTGTTGCTGTTGCATCTGAAAAGGGATAGGAGATCTGAGACAAACCCAAAAGGGCCTGGTGGTAGTCTGCAAAAGTCTTTTCTCAAGGAAGCAGTTAAGTTTTGGCAAAATAGCATCCCTCTCGTTAAATTAACATTTGTAATATGAGTTACATTAGTTTGGTTGCTTTTTGTTTGTATTTAATTTGCAAGCTGACTTTGGCTCTACAGTGGCACAAAAGCTGCAAGCTTTAGAAACTTGTACACTTTATCATCACTTAAGCTTTGTTCATTAGTTAAAAAAAAAATTTAAAACACAGGGGATCCAAAGCAATTTTAATTTTTGCCTTTTAAAAAGGCCCATCATTCCACGACTGGTCAGGGTAAGAAGACAAAGGGAGTCTCCTGTGAAATGCTACAACCTCTGGGGAAAGTAACCCACTATAAGATTCTAGACTGCAGCCGTAAATCCACAACTAACTAGGTAAATAACATCCACAGCAGCTCTGTTTGGTGGGGAGGGAGGGAACAATCTAAATATCTACCTGTCTACAAAGATGTTTAATTTAGTCCACGGTCAATCTCATCATTTTTCAGTTAGTTATCAGGTTGAAAAATCTGTTGGAGTGAAATGAAATGAGAGTGAATGGAGAGTGAAAATGAAATGTGAAATGAGCTGGTGCTCAGTACTGTCTGACTCCGTGACCCCATGGACTGTAGCCCACCAGGCTCCTCTGTCCATGGAATTTCCCCCAGGCAAGAATACTGGAGTGGGTTGCCATTTCCTTCTCCAGGGGATCTTCCTGATCCAGGGATTGAACCTGCGTCACTTGTGTCTCCTGCACTGACAGGCAGATTCTTCACTTCTGCGTCTTTGGGGCAGATAATCATGGTCTGAAAGAACTTTCTGCGCTGGTGGCAATGTTCTAAATCTGCACTGTCCAGTGACAAGCACTGGGCACATGTAGCTAACAAGCAGCTAGAAATGTAGCTGGTGCAACTGACAGATTAGTTCTTTGTTTTGTTTAATTTTAATTAAGTTAGCTACAAGTGGCTAGTGGCTGTCGCATGGGACACCGCATTAAGAGAATGTTTTCCAACTTCTACCTAAAAATGGGAGGGGGGGGAAAGCTGATGCTCTGTCAACACAAAGTCTACAAAGCAACAACTGGCTGGAGCTGAGAAACCACAGCTGCCTTTCTTTATCTATTTATTTTCTATTTTTTTGGCTATGCCATGCAGCATATGAGATCTTAAGTTTCCCCGATCAGGGGTTGAACCCATGCCCCCTGCAGTGGGAGCTCAGTCTTAACCACTGGACCACCAGGAAAGTCCTCACAGCTGCCTTTAGACACAGTGCACTCGCCAGTTTGCCAGAGTCCCCGCCACTCCCGAGCTGCTCACAGCCTCCTACCCTACTCATTTACCTGCCTGCCAGGCTCCTCTAAAGAGGGCCTGGCAGGACATCTGTATTTTTTTTTAACATTTATTTATTTGGCTGTGCTGAGTCTTAGTTGCAGCATGCAGGATCTTTTCTTTCTTAGTTGTGGCATTCGAATTCCTAATTATGGCGTGTGGGATCTAGTCCCCTGACCAGGGACTGAACCTGGGCCATCTTCACTGGGAGCACAGAGTCTTAGCCACTGGACCACCAGGCACCGGACCATTCAGGTGTCACTAGACACCTGAATTTATAATGGCTGACTTGGGCAGTTTCCCTTGACCACCTTCTCTCCACTCGGCTTTACCAAATGAAACCCTTCAAAATCAGACCGAAATGGCCCCTCCACTCTGCAGAATACTCCCAACATAATTAAGTGAGAGATTACTCCTCCCTCATCTGAACTCCGATAAGCGGTTGTCTGACACTCGAGTTAACACTTAACTCAAAAGGCCGTGGAGTTTAATTCTCAATCAGGTTCCCCACGACTATAAGCTCTCAAGTTGACTTCCAACTCTGCCTCATGTGTCTGTACTTCTCACAGCATCCTGCGGGGCACAGAACTCTGATCAAAGGAGCTCTCAGCAGCCCTTTCCTTGATGAGTGACAGGACTCCACTGTGCCACCTCTTGCCCTCTTTGAAAAGCCCTAACCTGTCAGCGTGTCAGCCTTCACCCCTGCCCCCCGCCCCGCCCCAGCGCCACCTCCTCTTTCTCTCTCTGCATCAGGGTCGCCAGGGAGAGAGTGAGCATGTCTGGGTAACATCAGGTTGTTGGGAGCTGGGAGATAGGAGAGACTTCCAGCTTTTACCCTACCTATAGCAACTCTTTCTTATTTTCCCACACCAAACACTGCTGAAAACTCTAGGCCTATTCTATTTGACCTACACAGTGTTTTTAAAAATTAGATCAGCAACATTTTTTTATGTTTCATGGGAAAGATTTCAACTAGATATGTGAATTTCTGGCTTCTCTTGAAAGTGGCTAGATTTGATATTCTCTGATAGTTAACAATAGGGATAGAGTTAGGGACAAGAGGCTTCCCAGGTGACTCAGTGGTAAAGAACACACCTGCCAATGCAGGAGACGCAAGAGCCACGGGTTAGATCCCTGGGTCAGGAAGATCCCTGGACTAGGAGACGGCAACCTCCTCCAGTATTCTTGCCTGGAGAATCCCATGGACAGAGAAGCCTGGCGGGCTACAGTACATGGGGTGGCAAGAGTTAGACACAACTGAATGACTGTGCATGCACACATGAGGGGCAATGGCCATCTCTGGACTGGGTGATGGCCGCCAGTTCCCGCGGTCCTCACTGATCTTCCTGCCTGGCCCCCATAATCAACAGCGTTATAATAATAATAATAGCAAACATTTACTGAAGACTGATCATGTTCCAGGCTCTACTGCAATCACATATATATCATTTAATTCCCACAGCGTCCCTAGAGGCATAAACTATATTATTAACCCTATTTTATGTATGAGGTAAATAAAAAGTCCAGAGAAGTTAAGTAATTTGTCCCAAATCAAAGTTAGCATTCAACCCCGGGATGTCTGACTCCAAAGCCCTTCAAAGCCCACTTCACCATTCCACTGTGCTGTGATTCCACACTCGATGCTGGGACTCCTTCCCTATATATTGCACTTAGATTCTTAAGTTGAACAATCAAGGAAAAATCTTCCTCTAGCCATGTACCCAATATAATTTTAACTATAAAGTTAACTCATTTCCACTGATCACTTGTTGGAAAATAGAAAGACATCGAGGAATCAGAAGGCTATGATTGCACTTGCCAGAGTGAATTCTTACACAGAATTAACTAAGTGAAGAAAAGAGACGTCAAAGTTTCTCACTTCACAAGCTGATCCTAGCAGAAAATGCAGATAATCATTAAAATCTAGAACATTTTCACAGTGAGGACAATGAGAGAACCCCTGGGGTCCTCAAGCGTCTTTCAGGGAGTCTGTGAGGTCAAAACTATTTTCATAACAGTATTTACATGTTATCTGCCTTTCTTATTCTCAGTGAAACTTTAGAGGATTTATTTCAAGAGGCTGCATGCAGAAGCAGATATAAGATACCAGATGATTCTAAAAATGTAAAACAATGCCACTTTTCTCACTAAATGTTGTTTTCTGAAATAAAAGTGCCAATTAAGTTAACATATAATGGGTTTACAATTGCTACTTTTAAATGAATTCATATTTTAAAAATTTATTAGTTTAAACTCCTAATACAGAAAATATCAGCAGATATAAATTCTTCAGCCACCTGCTGCAAAGAGCTGATTCATTGGAAAAGACCGTGATGCTGGGAAAACTGCAGGCAAAGAAGGGGGCGGCAGAGGATGAGATGGTTGGATGGCATCAATGACTCAATGGACATGCATTTGAGAAAACTCCGGGAGATAGTGTAGGACACAAAAGCCTGGCATGCTGCAGTCCATAGGGTCACAAAACACTGGACACAAATTAGCAACTAAACAATCACAGTTCACATGCACAAAAACACCCTGGGTGGGGTCTTCAATAATTTTTAAGTGTAAAGGGCTCTGAAGACAAAAAAGTTTGAGAACTGCTGCTCTGAAGGGAAAAAGTCCAGTACATATGCATGCCCCAAATAGACACATATCTGTGTATGTGTATCTAACGTAAACCCCAAATTCCAAACTGGTGGCCAGCAAACACATTTTACAAGGGCTCCACACTGTATTTAAAAACTTGTTAAATTGGTTCTTAACATTTACCGATCAAAAGATTTCACATAAAGACAGCGTTATGGTTTCTTCTCAAAAACAAAAACTTCTGGCAACACTGCCCTGACATTCCTACTTGGCCATTTCCACTGGCTGGCATCACTAGATGGGGAGCACAATCTTCGTTTCACCACAATCTGGACCTTTACCTGCCCATCCCTGGTAGGCATCTACATTGCTGAGCTAAAGAAGAAAAAGATTCCTTTGCAATAAATAATGAAACATACATCAATCTAATAAATGTCTGCATTCCTCCAGATCACTCAAAATGTACAATAAGTGATCCTTTTCCTTATCTGAACTCCTAAAGCAGCAACTTCTGTAATGTTTCACCAGTGATACAGAGATGCTTGGAACGATCAGAAACCTTTTGGAGAAAAAGGAATCCATCTGAAAACGAAGACATTCTCCAACAAGTGCAAAGGAAGGAAACTCACCAGGAGGAGGAGTGAGTGAATCAATCCCCAGGAAAAGGGGGGCCCACTTTAGGCCCCACAGAGAAAAGGGATCCGGTGACAGTCAAATCATTGGCTGTTTCTTCCTGGAACGCTGGATAGTAAATTCAGGACCCTCATTCAACTTCTTCTGCCCTGAAAGCAGGTGGTGGAAAGGAAGGGGCTGTCAGAACCTGGATCCCAAGGAAGCAAGGGCACAGGTATGAAACGGGGCAACTGGTAATTTTTGGAAGAAAGAAGAAAGCAATACTAAACTGGGGAGATCTAGGTAGGAAAATGGATTTTGATGTTCAAGGAGTTATTTTTTCTTTCTTTCCTTATTTTCCTCCTCTTGGGAAGGAAACTGCAGAGCTTTGCTGGGAGAAGCCTAACTGAGGTGGAACAGGTGATGAAAAGGGGTTTGTGTTGGGATGGCTGGAGAAGAGAGTTGGAAAAAAAAAATATTAGACAAGAGAGAAAACGGAAGGACTGAGTTGGTTTGTTATCAGTGGAAAGATATTCTAAACAGGGGGACTCGTGGTGGAAAGAAAGAATTTTTGCTGGAAAGTGATCCTCAATGGAGGAAAAAAATTTTTTTTTGCTAGAAGTTCCTAAGAGGAGGGGGAGGGGCGTAATCAAGGCGTCTAGGCGGGCTTCTTGGTTTTGCTGGAAGATCCTAAATAGAAACAAATCTGGGTCATCTAAAGTGGGGATCTTTGGGAGGAAAGTGGATTTTTAGCACCAGGGCCTGGAAAAGCAGAGGGCAAATGCAAGGCCGAGATGCAGAAAGTGCGGTGGTCGGGTAGGGCCCGCGGCGCGAGCTGGGGAGCTGCGAGGGGGCAGTTGGGGCCTGGGGGGCGGGGTAGGAAAGAAAAGGGGATGCAGTGAGCCAGGGGCCTCTGAGGAAAGTCTTCTCCAAGGGGGAAGGGACTGCGGGGATGCAGCAGGGCCCAGGGCTGTTGGGGTGCAGAAGGTGCGTGCGTGACGCGGGGTGAGCGGCGCTCGCCGCGCCTGCTGCGCCTCTCGAAAGGGAGCTGGGGCCCCTTAAAAAAGAAACATATAAACGAATTAATTTTAAAAGGGGGAGGGGTTGACGAATGAGGAAGGGGAGGGAAAGTGCGGGGTAGGAAGGAAGGGGAGGGGGCAGGGGCAGCAGCAACCGGGTTTTACCCGCCCCCGGGGGCTCGCGCGCCGGGCCTCGCGCCTCGCGGGCATCCCAGCGGCCTCCTGTTTTCCCAGCGCGTGCCGCCCGGCTGCGCAGTGTCGGCGGCTATTCGGCCGTCGCCGAGGGGGCGTGGCCACGCGGGGCGTGGCCAGGCACGGTCAGGTGACCTGCGGCAGGCGGGAAAGGAGGCGGTTGGTCGCCATTTTGGGAGGAGGGCGGTTGAAGGCTGAGGAGTGTGAAGGCGCACAGGGGAAGGGGCCACGGGGGAAGGGGCCGCTCGGGGAGGGGCCGGCGCCCCACGACACACACACTGAGGCAGAGAGTCGGGCGTCTCCGGCCATTGTTCCTGGAGGGCGGCGTTAGAACGCAGCATGGGGAACTCCGGCTCCCCGCGGGCCGCTCTACGCTGCAGCCTCAGAGGGTGTTGGGGGTGGGGTAGGTGTGAGCGCAAGGGCCCCTCGCAGCGTTGTGGGACCCTCGAGGCAGCCCCTGTGCTCCGTAGGGGCCACCGAGCTCTCCCTGCCAGGGGGTTGGAAAGACGTGGGGCTGGAGAAGCACGAAGCGGGACACGATCTCCTCTGCCTTTTCAAAGCCAAATCCTGTGCCAAATGTCTGTAGATCGGGCTCCGAGCTGAGCTGTGTTTCGGGACCGGGAAAGAGGAGGAAACCGGGAGCAGCAGTGGCCTGGGAGTCGGGGGTGGTTGATGATCAGTCAAGAAATTTGAACCCTGGAACGACTTAGACGGAGATTTAGTTCCTTAGAAATTGTGCGCTGAAAAACTATGGAGACATCAGATTCGTGGTTGCCTGGGGGTGGGGATGGAGACTAAGTTTCTAAACTCTTAAGAGGATCTGCTTGGGATGATGGAAGTATTTGAAAGCGGGTTGTAGGGGGTGACTGCACAACGTGATGACTTTAGTAAAATTCCTTGTGTTGTACACTTTACACGGGTGACTTTCGTGTAAATTAAAGTTTTGATGTTTTAAAAAATGTGATCCCTGGGGTAGGTAGAATAGAGGGGAGAGGAAAAGGACTGGCATTCCACCTTTGGATTCCTTCATTCAGCAAATATTTATTGAGCTTCTGTTCGGATATACCACAGTGTATGAGTCAAACAGCTCTGCTCTGGCTTATGTTCTAGAGAAAAACTGTCTGATAGAAATATTAATACAAGCACCTAGTGCCAGCCACATAATTTTCTGTTTTCTAGTGGCCATATTTTTCAAAGCTAGAAAAAAGTGGGAAATTAATAATACAATTTAACCCTAAATGTTATTTCAACATGTAATCAGTACAAAAGTTTTAAAAGATAATTTACCTTGGGGGTGACTCTTTAAAATCTGGCATGTGTTTTACATTGACAGGACATCTCAATTAAGACCAGCCACTTTTCAAGGATTCCATAGCCAAATGTATGGCTTAGGTACTGAACAGCAGGCATATCTTTAGTTGGGGGCAGGCAGAGATTTTTAGTATACTGTGTTTTTATTTTTTTTTTTTTTTTTTTTTTTTTTTAATGTAAGGAAAGACTACAGTGTGTCAGAAGATGCTATTTTATACAGGTCAGTAAAAGCCTCTCTGGCTAAGTTAGACTGAGCAGAGACTGGAAGGCCATAAGGTAAGGAAGGGAGCTATAAAAATATGGACAGGAGGGGGCGGGGGGAGGCAGAGTACACATCTTCCTTAGTGGTCCCGTGGTTAAGATTCTGAGCTTCCCTGGCCAGGGGGCCAGGTTCAATCACTGGTTGGGAACCAAAATCCAGGATGCTGCATGGTGTAGACAAAGAAAGTAAAACTATCTGGGGAGAGGAGCAAGTGCAAAGGCCCTGAGGTAGGAAGATGTGGGATCCATCTTCAGAGACCACTGTGGTTTGAACCATGTGAGCAAAGAGTAAACTCAGGGCAGCTCATGTAGGACCTTATGGGTTATGCAGATGGGCATTAAGCATCTGCCTTTAATTTAGGAGGGTTTCTTTGTTTACTTAGCAAACATTAAAAAATACCGAGTTTCAGCAGTATGATCTCTCCTCCTGATGCAAGAAAGTGAGTACCCCGGTCAATGAGCAGATGAGAGTTTTAAGAACAGGCCTTAAGGTCCTGAAGGAAAGTGACATTTTTGCTGTCCTTTGACAAATATCAATCAATTTATGGCCAGAGAAGATCCTTGCAACACACAACACCAAAAAGAGCCTGCAGAAATTATTTTAAAAGACTGAAAATTAATGTGACAATCCAATAAATAAAGGTATGTGGAGACATTTCATAAAAGAGGAAAAATAGGGAAAATGACCTAGCAATAGCAAGATTTTAAAGCAAATTAAAGCCACAGATATTAGGTCACACCCACCAGTTCGGCAAAATTAAACATTTTTTCTGTCAGGCATAGCAAGGGGGACTTGCACAGTACTGGTCCTGGGTAAAATTGGTAGTCACATTGCATAACAAATTGGAGATACTGAATAAAATTAAAAACATAGGGCTTCCCTTGTGCTCCAGTGGTTAAGAATCTATCCTTGCAATGCAGAGGACACAGGTTTGATTCTTGGTCCGGGATACTCCCACATGCTGCAGGGCAACTGAGCATATGCACTGCGACTACTGGAGCCCTTATACCTGAAGCCGGTGCTCTGCAAGCAGAGAAGCCACTGCAACGGGAAGTCCATACACCGCAACTAGAGAGTAGCCCCCATTCTCCCCAACTATAGAAAGCCCACGTGCAGTAACGAAGACCCAACACAGCCAAAAGATGTTAAAGATGTGATGTGTCCCATGCCCCAGCAATGCAGGGATTGACGGCAGAGAAACTCTTGTTCATATGCATTAAGAGATGGACATAAGAATAGTCATAAGCAGTAATATCTGTAATAACCACAAAACAAAAAATCAACTTGGATTGGATGATTTCTGTAACAGAAAAAGGACATTAATAGAAAAGCTAGTGAAATCTCAAAAACGGAAATTCAGTTAATAGTAGTGCATTAGTGTTGGTTGATTTCATGTTTCCAACAAATGTACTCTGGTAACATCAGAAGCTCACATTAGAGAAATCTGGGTGAGGGGTCTATGGAGGTGTATGTCTTTGCAACTTTTTTGTAAATCTGAAAATCTTTTCAATCTAAAATTACTCCAAAGTCAAAAGTTTGGGAAAAAGAAAATATGTTCTTCTGAATAACTGTGGTATAGTATAGTTATTCAGTGGAATATTTTATAGCAGTGACAATCAGTTTCAATTACTACAGTACAGATGTGCTTCCATTTACTTATAAAGTTTCAAAACATAGGCCAAAATGCATAATATACAGTTTAGGGACCCAAAGTAAATTGGGCTTTTTAAAAACAAAGGAAAGAGAAACACAAAATTTAGCAAAGTAGTTACTCCTAAGGGGTGAGAGAAATGAATTGAGGTGGAGCAGGGCCCATAATGGAAGTGCAGAGGAAATGGATTTTTTTTCCCTTACGGTGGGCCCACTCATTTTATTCTTTATAATATAGATATATTTGATTTTTTAACTATATTAAAATGTTTAAACATTTGTAGCTCAACATTTTTTTTACATATGGCAGTACAGCTGTGGAAGCAAGATTTTGGCCTCTGGAACAATTCAAGTAATTCCTTTTATTTCCTCTCAATCCTTGACAGTCTTTTGGATGCTGTGCTTTGAAAGAGGTACCAAAAAAAAAAAAGAGAAGATATGGGTTAAGAAAGAAAGAAGTTAATTCCAAAGGGAGATGAGAGCTGTGAAAGAAATGAACACATGTGATGGAGAGGATCTGGATGCTTGGGAAGCTGGATTTTCAAAGCACGATCCCCAGACCAGCAGCATCACCAGTTTGTTAGAAATGCAGGCCAGGCCCTATCCCAGTCCTCCTAAGGCAGGAGGTCTTGCATTTTATAGCAAAATTCCCATGGGATTCATGTACAAATTGAATTTTGAGAAGCACTGCCTTAGACAGCATGATCCAGGAAGACTTCTAAGAGGAGGTGGCATTTGAATTGAGACCTGAAAGTTAAGAGTCAGATGGTCAAGCAGAGGTCTAGAGCAAACCTTCCAGGCAAAGGAGATGTCAGGTACAAAGGTCATGATACCAAGTAGAGATCTGAGGAGTTCAAAAAGGACTAGAGGACTTCCTTGGCAGTCCAGTGTTTAAGACTCGGCGCTTCCACTGCAGGGGGCACTGGTTCCATCCCCAGTCTGGGAACTAAGATCCCATATGCCGCAAAACTCAGTCAAAAAAGAAACTGTCAGAGAGGACTAGTGTGGCCACAGCAAGCAACTCAGGGGTACTGATGAGGTTAAAGAAGCAGATGAGGTCCACCCAGAGCCTGGTGGGCTCTGGGAAGAAGTTTGGATATTATGTGACATTGTTAGAATCCACTGCAGTGTTATATGCAGGGAGAGGCATAATCTGATGGACATTTACAAAAATGTCACTCTGGGCCTGCAGTGGCTTCATATTGTGACAAGTTAGCTAACCTGGAGCCACATTTCTCAGAATTCCCTTCCATATATGGTTCTGTGTTAGGCTTGGCTAGAAGGGAAATCCATAAAACATTGATTTGTTTAGCAACTTTAATCTAATATATAGTCCATATTCAGATCTCCCAATCATCCTTCAAATATCTCACCTTAACAGTATTAATATGAATAATATTCCAAGTAACAATTAGAGCTGTCCTAAGGTTGTCCTAAGGGCTTCCCCAGTGGCTCAGATGATGAAGAATATTCCTGCAATGCAGCAGACCCAGGTTTGATCCCTGGATCAGGAAGATTACCTGGAAAAGGGAATGGCTACCCACTCCAGTATTTCTTGCCTGGAAAATTCCTCCTAAGGTTGTCCTAAGGGCTTCCCCAGTGGCTCAGATGATGAAGAATCTTCCTGCAATGCAGCAGACCCAGGTTTGATCACTGGATCAGGAAGATTACCTGGAGAAGGGAATGGCTACCCACTCC